CTTTGGGGATTTTGTCAAAGATGGTCAAATTGACCAAATTGGACCAAGGTATAGTTGGACAAAATGAAATTGGGAATATTTTGGATTTATTGAGATTTTTTAGGAATTTTTGGAATTTTTGGATTTTGGGTCATGGAGAGGTATCTTGGTAATTTGGCTATTTTTGTCAGTTTTGGAAAATTTTGATGTATTCAAAGTGTTTGGAATGAGTTTTGATCAATTTTGAGTATTTTGGCAAAATTTGGAATTTTTAGCCAAATTTGGGTATCAAGGGCAGTTAGGTAATTTGGAGGTGCCTAGGGGCAAAAGACCAAGTTAGGCATTTCACATAGAATGGGATAGATATCCATTCTAAATAAACCAGGGATTAATATATTGTGAAGATATGGTGTATCCTAATTCCAGGGTCGACCCTAAAGCCAAGTAATCCTATAGGGACTCTTCTTGAACTCTCTTATAATGATCTTACCTACTAAATGCTAGAGGTTAAGATCAATATGTGGAATTTCAAACTGAGTAAAAAGAAAAGTTTTTTGAATTTCTAATGGTGGGGTACCTCTTCTAATTTTCTAAGACTAGTCAATAGGAAAGTCCTATGGCTAGACCTAGGCTACTAAAGAAGTTTTCTAGACGTCAACCAAAAGTGAGGTCAACATCTATAAACAAGCCGAATACGAATGAATCTCTGTTCGCTTGCGTTTGACTCGTTTTGGCTCGAAATAATTAAAAATTTATATTTATTTGCATCTTTTTATATGTATTTAAATTGCTAAATTTTATTATTTTTAAATTATATGTAGGTGGTATAATTATAAATAAAAATAAATTTAAGTGTTAAAAATGTAAATAGATAGAATTTGGATGCTATATAGGTAAATGGACCTCTAAAAGGCTAAGGGATGCAGCTTATTTGGTGTGTTTGGCATTTTCAAAATGCTGCTTAGGCATTTATTTTCTGCGTTCAAGATGCATTCCTGAAAAAGGTGCTAGGCGTACGGTGCCGTGGGATCGAACAAGCGGCCCGCATTTTCAATCCTGTTTTTCCTCCGGCACCCTTCTGTCAGTCTTCTCCCTCGCTCCACGGCACCAATTCCACCGCAAATCTCTCTCTCTAGCAGCAGCATTCGAGCTTGATGATTATTTCTTACTTCTTCTGTTGTTTCCCATTTTTTTTCTTTCGGTTCAGTCGTTGCTTCGCAATAAAGCTCTTCCTCATCATTTCCCTATTGTTGTTGAAGTCAAACTACGGTATTCTTGTAGCGGACATTTTTTCTGTTATGTACATATACCAGTTCAGTACTCTTTGAGGTAGATCTTTGTATGAATCTTGTTTTGATCTCCATGTATTTGTACATCAAACGATTTGTCGGGTACCATCTTAAAGCCCCGGCAGAGGTTTGTCTGTGCTTCATGCTTGCTTGCATTGGAATTAAGCATTCTCATGGTGATTGTTGAGGCGAAGTTTTGCTCTGTGAAAATTTTACTAGCTAGATATGAGAGGGTTCGGTGACTCTTCTTGTCCTGTGGAGGGCAGGCACAAGCCTTTCTTCATTTTTTGTTTTTTTTGTGAAGCTCTTATCTGATAATGTTCGAGCTACATTTTGTCATTTTTAAATATTGTTTGTTTTAATTTTCTTTCATGGTGCTGATGCTTCATGCATATTTACATATATCTTTAATTTAGCTTGGGAAACAATGTGATTTTAAATTGTTTCTAGTTATAACTCTTTTGTTTTCTTTTGTAGGGTGAGGAGTACATTATGTTGTTCACTCTAAGTGAGGGTTGTCTTTTATTTTGTTACTGTTTTGTATTGGTTTTCTGCTTCTCAAGTATCAAATATATTGTTATGACAGTTTTGTAGCAAATTTCTTTACTGTATAGGGGCAGAATGATCATTTATTTAGAAACAATTGTAAATCAGTTGTTTTCAAACAGCACAAACTAAACAGCTAGACAACTTATCCGAATAAGCTGCTGATCAACAGTTTATCAGCAAATTATTCAATAAGCTGCAGCTGCCCCAAATAGACTTTGATTTGGGTGTTATTTGTGTAAAATGTTACATATGTAAATATAAATATAAAACGAATGGTGTTGGTTGCTGCTATTGGAAGGAAGAAGACCGAGCAGGGAATCGGGACCACGCCACCACCTCATGCATGGTGGCCAATTTCACCACGCATGAGCAGCATGCTCAATTAGGAAGGGAAGAAATTGTTTGGAATGGAGATTTGTCTCACATCTAGAGTTCTGCCTAATTGTTGTGAGAAACCTTTTATAGAAAGGGAATGTGAGAATTTTTTTTAGCAAAGAAGTAGAGTGGTATGGATGCATGCATCCATAATAAATTCAGTAAAATAAGCTATTTTAATTTAATAATAATAATTTAATTAATTAAAAATTTTGGTCATGTTTGAACTAAGTCGAGTCTGAAGTCTGACTAGAGCTGAATGCATAGCCTTTTAACGAGTTATTTCGAACACAAACAAAAAAAAAAATTGAATGAGTCTGACATGAACAAGCCTCACGCTCACTCAAGCTCAGCTCGTTTACATCCCTACACACAACTGTACCTTACTGGCAAGAACTTAACTTAAACTATAACTACTCCTCTTCCAATCCCACAGCTATGTCGGCTGGCCTTTCTTCCAATCTGAATACATGGCATCTGGATTTAGGTAGCACCTCTCACTTAACATTTGATTCATTTCAACTCGGTCAAACAACTTCATTTTAGTTAGCAATAGACAATCGCTTCTCATCTCCAAAATAAGCAAAGGTTTCATCATTACTCCCTTATATAAGCTACATCTTCACAAACTACATCATGTTCTTCTTCTCACATTTTAGTACATAAGCAAATAGTAGATAATTCACGTGTTGGTATTTTTACACCACATGGATACAAAATCACAAACTCCCACATCAATATGATATTGCTTAAAAAGAAATGTCTTAATGGTCTCTACCCAATTCAACCTTCCTCAACCCATCAATCATAGCTCCACTTCAAAACATTCTCAACAACTATCAATTCAAACTCACATCTCTGGCATAAAAGATTTGGTCATCCAACTTCCTCCACATTATCTCTATTAACAAAAGGTCAAATACTACATTTCTCTCATGATGATCACAGTCAATTAACATAGATTTATTTCATGAAACTAAAATCTCATAAATCCATGTCTAAATTCATACAATTTTAACAAATGGAAGAAAATAATTTGACACTAAAATTAAAATCTTATGTATGAATGATGGAGGAAAATACTTAACATTGCAACTCCAACAAAATCTCATTAACCAAGATATATTTCATCAACAAGGTTGTCTTTATACCCTTAGATGAAATGGGGTAGCCAAACACAAACACGGGCATTTACTAGAAACCACAAGAGCTCTTATATTTGAAGCCAACATTCCACGATATCTATGGGTAGACAATTTTTATAACCACCTATATAATTAATCATCCACCCACTCATTACACATAACATCTCTCTCAATAATCAACTCATATACCACAAATCACCGAATCACATTGCTCTTAAAACTTTTTGTTGTTAACGCTTTACTTAGCTTCCACCAAAAATCACTCACAAACTTACCCCAAATTTCATTTGTTGTGTATTTCTTGATTACATCACCCATAAAAATGATACACATGTCTTAACCTATCCACTAGCGCTATTATCATCTCCCGTCATGTAATTTTTAAGGACATATATTCTCATTTTAAACTATAACCCCAACACAGCACCAAACAACACTCAACCCATGCATTCCACCACTTTTAATTATTCCTTCCTCTACTCCCAAGTTTCTCTAGAGCGCCAATAAAATATCCAACTACTTTAGCTTCCCCACCTACTCGATCAACCCCCTAGCCCCTACATAATCTGCGCCACCCATTATCAACTCAACACCATCAAACACTCCCTCTCAAACAATTTCTATTTAGCTACATTCCCATCGTTTGATCACCAAAACTAAAATTGGGTCTCTCAAACCCAAAATAATCTTTGAACTTAATGTTATATATCATGAATCAAGGCACAAAAACATTGGTTCAACCTCACCCGATATAATACATGCTTAATCGCTCAAGGATACAAACAAGAACATGAATTGGGCTATCATGAAACTTTCATTATATTAGCAAATGAAATGGCCTGTGTATATTGTGCAATGACTTCTTTGCAACCAACTCTCTATAAGTCTCAACATTAAATTTTGTTAAAAATAACATACAAGCAGCGGTCAAACAAATTAAGTAGTTTGTGTATGAGAAATAACTCTAAAACATGGTCCTAATTATATGAAAAAAAAATTTATGTGAGAAATCTGAATGTAAAATTAGACCATAAAAATTACACTATTTTATACAATGTCCAGATATATTCTACATTTACGTACACCACACTTAATATTCTCTCTCTAAATGGACCCTTAATCATCTAACTATACATTATCTTCCTCTCATCAACCCTCTCTCAAACATACAATCATTAATGTGAAGCACAGAAGCCTCCATTTTTTTTTCTTTGGGGCATCACGGCCGTAGCCGCACGATGCGTAATAACACATAATATCTTTTCCTCTCAAACTGCCTCAATTTTCTACAAATTACAAACAAAACGTGCATTTTACTACAACAAAACATGCATTTTACTACAACAAAATAGCACAATTTACAAACAAAACGCTCATAAAAAACACTTAAAACCACTCCAAAACAGCTAAAAAAAAAAACGATTAAAACATGTTAAAAATAGAAAAAACAAAAGATCAAAGCGCCACCCATACATATATATATATATATATATATAGCTGCTTTGGTTTATGAGTTTATGGTGCTTTCCGTCGAGTCATCTTCTCATCCGCATCATCAGCCTCTTGCCCCACAGGACTACTAGGTTTAGTGGGAGAGTATATATATATATATATATGTATATATATATACATATATATATATATATATACTCTCCCACTAAACCTAGTAGTCCTGTGGGGCAAGAGGCTGATGATGCGGATGAGAAGATGACTCGACGGAAAGCACCATAAACTCATAAACCAAAGCAGCTAACGCTCCACCAAGCATCGGGCCAACCCAATAAACCCAATGGTGGCGCCACCTCCAACCCACCACCGCCGTCCCAAATGCTCGAGCTGGGTTCATCGCAGCCCCATCAAATGACCCGCCCACCAACACATTCGCCCCCACGATGAACCCAATCAGCAATGGAGCGATGGTGGAAATTGATCCTCTCCTTGGATCCAACACCGTCGCATAGACCGTGTAAACGAGCCCGAACGTTAGCACGATCTCGAGTATCACCGCATTACCCCGCCCTATTCCAACGGCTACTACAAACCCTAATGGTCTCTGCAATAAGAAATTATAACAAATCAAGAGATGAATTTGCTTGAATTTTAACCTTTTAAAAAAATATGCACTATAATTATTTCCATCATATTAATTTGTATATTGAGATAAAAGTATATTTTTTGAATACCAAGCCAGCGGTGGACATCCAGAGCAGAATGACGGCCACGATTGCGCCAAGTAACTGCGCCACCCAGTACAATATAGCCCGATAGAACGATATTCGACCGCCAACGAGGCTGGCGAGAGTGATGGCAGGATTCACGTGGCCGCCGGAGATGTTTAAAGCAACCGAGACCGCCACAGCGAAGGCGAGCGCGTTAGCAAGCGCACCGACCACCAGACCGCCGGCCGTCCACGTGTTTATCTTTTGCAGCTTTCCTGCATGCATGCAAGACATTAAAGATGTTAATTATATGACATTTATAAGGATTTTTGGTGGAAAATAATCTTATATCAAGCATTTATGCAAGTTATAATCAATTTATTAAAAACATGATATATTATTTATATTACAAATTAATATTATTTTACACTATAAGTATTTAAAAGCTATTTTTACAAAATTTTAAAAAAAAACTAATGTTACAAAGAAAATTATCTCTCTAAATTATTGTCTCGCAATCCCCATAATTTTTTTTATGAACAACATCATAAACATTGCTATTTACAAATCTAGTACTCTCATTCATCAATTTAGTAAATTCTCGCTCAAATATTAAAATTGATGATAAAATCTCAACTCATAATTTTCTTTTTTATCAAATTTTTTAATGATTTAGTTGCCTCATGCCTAAATACATCCATTCCATAGTATGAAAATATCACTTAATGTTAAATTTTGTAAATAACAAAGTTCTGAGTGCTACGTGTATAATTTCATATGTCTAATTACGGGGTGTCACGTGACAACCCGATGTCAGTGGGTGGACGCCTAATGTAAATTTACATCAGATGTCCTGATGCAATACTTTTTCAGAAGGAAAACAAGACATTATATATATATATATTTTTTTTCACAACACACATAATTCTACGAGCATCTGTAATCAAAAGTATACCGAGAGAAAGAAGGGAGCCTTCGGCTGCGAAGACGAATATGGCGGTGGCGACGAACTCGGAGAGGAAAGCACGCATGGTGTCTTGGTGGACCGCGTCCTCGGTCCACCGAAAAGCATATCGGCGAGGCATTTTCGGTAGGGTTTGGATGAACTGTATTACTTGTCTTTATTTGGTCTTGTTTTCTCTTGTCACAAGCATGAGGGTTTGAGGATATGAAGAAAGAAGGGGGGAAGGGCGGTGGCTAACGTGTGAGCTGCTCGGGAGTGGATCGATGACACTTGCGAGATGTGAAGAGGCACGTTGAGAAAGGTTAGGGGTTGGGGGGTGGTTGGAGAAGTGCTAGAGCTCTTAAAGTTGGGTTTAGTATGGAGGTATTTTAAAAAGAGTAAATAAAAAAAAAATGAGGAAATTATAGACTTGATCATTGAAGAAGTTATGAACTAGTTTTATATTAGTTAACTAGATTAATTAAGATTTATGTCAAATAACTTCATTTGATTCAATCACATCGGAAGTAGCCAAAAAAACCCCTAATGATTAAGCATTTTACATTTCATGTTACCTACAAAAGATTATAAAGTGTAATTAGCATGAAGAAAAGATTGGAAATAAATAAAAAAAAAAATTAACTTTTGTGGAGGCGTAGGTTGTTATTCAGACCACTGGTCCGACTAATGTTGGTGCGTGCGACCGTACACGGATGAAATTCAATTGTGATGGACTCCTTTTAAAGTGTTTGACTCTAGTAATATATATTAAAATATTAGGAAGAAAATAATTATAGAAATGAATTTAACGCTTTAAGTAATTCTTATCAACTTCCACTTATACTCAATGTGTGGGAACGAGCCTTCGGTGTTTAAGGAAGTACCAATGCCTCCACTGTTTGAGACCTAGTTGTTAAAATTGACAATAATTAAAAAACATCAAAATAAATATCTTTTAAGGTGTGCTAAAGCTTGCCCAAAAGACTCAAATTCATTTAAGAACTCATGAGTGGGTCATTTTCTTCTCGGAAACAATCTATTGTTCATCTATGATTTTAAATTTATGATATCCATCAACACTCTCTAAACTTAAGGACAAGGACATTTAACACACCAACTAAATAGAGCTTTTTTACATATGTATATAAATAACAATTATAATTGACATGTTATGTAGGTAAATACATGAGAAACCATTTCATATCACATGAAAGTATTACTACCATTTTAACCTTTGAAAAGTTAAATTAATACACCTTCTCATACATGGCTATTTGAGATGGCTTGAATGAAATAATGAAAGTTTAGATGTAAATTTTCCAAGCTAATTCGTGAGCTAGTTTTTTCTCGCTTTGATAAGTGGCTCGTGAGCTTCCTCAAAGAGGTAACAAGCCAATCTCAAGCCATAATCGATTGACTCGCTCGATTGATGTTATCAATTTTGGCCTTTCTTATTCGCTAGTATAATTGATGGGTTTGAATATCTAAAAACAACATACGAGATATGGTTTGGTGGAAGTTATAAAAATGATAAATATAAAAATTGGAGATTAGTATTTCTCTGTCATTCTCCAACTACTTACAATAATAGCTTGTATTGGCGGGAAACATACATTCATATCAAATTTATGCCACTAAGTAGGGGTATAAACGAGTTGAGTCGAACTTGAGCCACCCTCTACTTGAGCTTTAGCTTGAATTTGATTAAATGATCAAGTTTGATCTCAAGCACAATCCTGCTCTTACGAGTTCGAGCGATATCTTTATTATTAAATAGAGAAAAAGTATCAATTCAACCTACTCTGATAATAAAATGATTCTAATAACATGATTACTTATGAAAAAAATAACAAAAGATAACTCGATATAAAATATAAAGTAAAATATTTTTAACAATTTAAATATAAACTTTTGAATTTTAATATAATTTGAGTATATTTTGTCTTAATTATTTTTTACATGAGTCAGCTCTCCAGCTAACAAATTCAATAGGGGCTAGCTTGAGAGCTGGCTTATTAGCTCAATTCAAGACCCACCTATCGAGTCGAACCTGACCAGGCTCGCCAGCCAGCTTGGCTCAGTTACACAATTACCAATATTTAAGGCGCAATAATCTTCAAGCAAAAAAAAAAAAAAAATCATTGAACCAATTTCATTAGGGATTAATAAAACCATGGCAAGCTTAGAACAAGCATTAAGATGAAAGATAGCTCATACGCCTAACATGCAGTAATTCATTCAAAAGCTAACTCTTAACTCACATTAAATGCGCAAAATTCACATCAAAAAAATTAATATATGTAAATACATGCAAATTGAGTGTTATACTCGATATTTTGTGTAAAGAATCCCGAGCGGAAACATGATAGAGCCAGAAAAATGCAGGTGTCATAGAGTTAAAAATAGTAATTGATGAAGGGGATGAAATATAGGGTTACCTTGACGGAGTTCTTGCAAGAGAAGCCACTGCACATGCTCGAGAGAGAGTGATAGAAGTTTCGATAAGCTATTGTGAGACCTAAAAGGAAAGATTCAAAATGAGGATTTTCGGGAGCAGACGTGATATAAACGGTGGTGCAGGGGTTGTGCGATACTGTACCATAATTTTGTATGTTTGGGTAAACTACTTTTTGACAGTTTTTCAAAAAAATGTTACTAAAATATGTGTTTTCCTACCGGTCATGGCTAGGCACGGTGACGGTTTTCTAGCTGCGATCTGACTTTTTCAAAAAAAAAAAAAAATTTAATAGCCAACACAGTTTTTTGAATATCAGATTATTTTTCAACATCTTCACAAGTATTTTTTAATAAGCTGCATGTCAGACTATAAATGACCAAAAATAGTTCTAAAACATAATTTTAAGCTTAAGATGAGAAAAAAATTTGGATTTATTGCTTCATCTTTTTATTAAAAAAAAAAGTAATTGTCAATTGTTGTATCTTTTAATTTATTTTATTTTTTTGAAAATTTGGAATTTCTATGCTTTTACTTTAATTCACTGAATTCATTTGTTAACTAAAATCAAAATATTGCATTAAGAATTATAAAGTGATTTTTTAACATAAATTTTACATATATAATTTTGTTAATTTTCATTTATTGGCGAAAATAAATTGGGGAGCCAAAAATTTCAATTTTTTTTTTTAATATGAGGGCAAAAACTAGTATTTTTCAAAAATTCGTTTTACTTTTTAAAAAAATTTCACAAAATATTATTAGTATAATATGATCAATATATAATAAAAAATTATAATATAAAAAATTTGGTCATTAATATCAGAATATTTAATTAATTATTAAAAAAATAAAATAATCACATCATATACATATTTTAAAAAATGACAACTTAAATTTTTAAAAAAGTATAAAATAAAATAAATTTGAACATTTAATATTTAAATTTTTTAAAGAATACCTTTTCAATTTTTCTTTAGTTGAACGATATTGATTAGTTAAATATAGAAGAAGTGATTCAAATAAAATTTATTTAAATTTAAATTAAATATAACTTAGTTCCAATTCATTCATGTATATATTTTGTTCAAATTAATAATTTTCAAATATAAATTTCTTCTTGATTAAGAAAAATTTTGGTAAGGATAAATTTTAAATTATTAAAATTTTTAATTAATCTAATATATAAATAATCAATCAAAACTTATAGATTACACATCTAAGGTTAAATTTAATATATTTGAATTTCATTTTTTCATCAAAATTTAGAAGATAAAATCATAATCAATTTTTTGTGTTAAGATTAATATTAAATTTTAAAATAATATTTTTTAATAGATAATTACATGCAGATCATGTTACCCAACATTTAAGATAATATTTTTTAAAATAATATTTTTAAATTTAATAATATTTTAAAATTTAATATTTTCTTTAATGGTAATAAATTTAGTAGATTTGAAATTTCAATGAAATATTTATCGATCTTGAAAATAAAAAAAAAGGTTAATTCCTCCTACTAATTCCTATGTATTTACATACATACATACATACATACATACATACATACATACATACATACATACATACATAGCATCAGTGGATTATTGAACATCATGTACATAATTGCTACTTTATAAACAGAAATGGAAACAAAATAAGATTACATGTGGAGTATTTTTTTAAATGTGACTAGTTGGTGTAATGCTTTATGACAAATTTGCACATCACCCCCCATAAGTAGTGTAATATAAACTATAATTATACTTTTGTTAGTTAATCCAAAAGACAAATTAAATCACAATAAATAGTTTAAGAATATATATATATATATATATATATATATATTGAAAATTCAAATAACCATTCATAAGCCATCAAAAGGTTAAAAAACAAATAAAATATGAGAGATATTATAAAAAAAAATATCTGATAAAATAAAAAGGGTGTAATGTCACACTATTAGTCATGCATTTGTCATCATTATCTATTCCATTACTAGTATAAATGTTTAATCCTTATTATATTTCAAGTATTTTTATGTTTTTTTTTTATTTATAAAAATTTGATCCATGTAATAATTTAACAATTTTGGAGCTCTCCAAATTGGGAAATAAATGGAATTGAAAATACTTTGAAATAATTTTAAATTATAATTTGTAAATTCACAACGGTAGAGTGATATGCATATATTATTAAATTTTATCATTGTTGAGTGCTCATAAATTCACAACGGTAGAGTGATATATTAATGCCTTAGTGTTATACGAAATTTCAACACACACACACACACAGCTATATATATATATATATATATATATAGAGGTATTTTCAAATATTACTTAATATAAGGGTAGAAGCTTCTTTCTTTGATCCCATGACTTTCATTACCTCTCTTTAACATAAAAAATTCGAAAGAATAAAAATCGCGGGATCCGAAAAGAGCTTTGAAAGAAGTAAGGGTTCTCCAGCTTCACTAGTATTCGTAGGGGTGTAAACGAGCCGAACACGAGCTGAACGGGCTCGTTTATATTCCGAGCTCAAAAAGTGTGTTTGTGTTCTGCTAGTTTGCTTAGTGAGCCGAACACGAGCCGTTCACGAACAAAAAGTCGTTTATAGAACCCTAATCACGTAGTCATAAGATGTTAAAGATTGGGGCAAGATTTAAAACATCATTTTAATCTAATTTAATAATATTTATTTTATTTTATTTATTTTATTTTCTTAAAATACTTTTAATTGATTATAAATCTTTGTAGCCATGCACTCAATTAAAATTTTTGAATTGATTAGTAGTATTTCAGCCAAAACGTACCGAACACGAACATATAAATATTTGTTCGTGTTGTTCATGTTCGATTC